TTTTTTCTTTTCTTATTTCTTTTTTACTGTTATCGTACTTTTACTCGACGTTTTTATTCGTCGCATAATTACTCACGCTTTTTTTTTTTTCTTTTTTTCTTTTCTTGCATATGATTTCAATAAACAACGAAATTTATGCGAGTGAATCAATATACATAACTGTATAATTTGTATACGTGTATGTGTCAGTGTCCTGTGTGTGTGTGTGTGTTTTTTTTTCTGTAAGTGTTAAAATGATTGCGTTAGAGATGCGTGCGTGCATGTAAAATTTTATCGTTCAATTGCAAACGATTAAAATAAATATAAGTAATTTGTAATGCGCTAAAAACACAAAAGCAAACAATGATCAGAATAATAATTCGCAATCGTTGAAACAGATGATGATAAAGCAACATATTATTATTTTGTTTTGTTTAACTAAAACACAAAATTAATGATCGGTGCAAACTTAAGTACACACGCAGTGTTCGCATTTAAATACAACGAATGATTTTTAAGATAGTAAGTACATTATTAATATAAACTAATTAAGAAAAAGGGTAGGAAAGAAAAAAAAAGAAAAAAATAAACACAGGATAAGTACGTGAAAAGAAAATCATACAACAAAGCTCGCTTCGACATACAAAATCATAATTACACAATCGAAATTGTCGCGAGTACTATTGTCGGTATGATAATGTCCGATAGATAATAATGAGTTGTTTTTTTTTTTTTCAAGGTTTAGGAATTTGAAATCGTCAATAGGATTGTAAGTACGTGTAAATCGTATTACATATATTAGTAATAATTGGAAACGTGGTGTATTGCTTTGTTCTTAACATTGAAAAATATGATTAGTCGATGCTTAAGAAAGAGAAAGAGAGAGAGAGAGTGAGAGTGAATCGATCGATGATCTTCAACATTACGATTTTTTTAATAATTAATCGTTAATTGAATGAATGAAAATTTTTGGCGCGACTATAGTGGATTCCCCCCTTAAACAATATATAAATGATATACATATACAAAGTGTCGCACCATAACATCGATCACCACCTTCCTTCCTCCTCTCGTGACTTAACACACGCACACGCACAGAAAGTGGATCGGAGTGGGGTGTTTGTGGTTGTTCGGGGGATGGTACATCAACCCTTGACTAGGAAAAACGAGCACTCGGCACGCTCTCGCGCGCACACTTTTCTTTCTCATCCCTTTTGCCCTTATTCTTCTCATCTTTCGGGATGTTATATAGGAAAACGTGTAGTAAGTAAAAAATCGACTAAATAAATGAAAAGAGTACAACGTTGCTGCTGGGTTTTTGTATCTGTGGGAGGCGTACGAGAAAAAAAAGAGAAGAAAGAGAGAGAGAGAGAGAGAGAGAGAGAGAGAGAGAGAGAGAGAAAGAGAGAGAGGAAGACATGAATTCTCAACCCCTAACGAACAAAATTCTCCACGTTTCTCTATTAATCTTTATATGTTGGTATCTCTCTCTGTGAGTGTGCGAAGTGTGGTGGTTGGTTGGTGTGTCTGTCTGCTCGAATACAAAGACACGAATAAGAAATGACGACCGGTGAGGGGTTGGGTGTTAAGGGGGTAAAAGTCGCGTTTTCTATGGCACATGCGAGTGGCACGAAGAAAAATAAAGGGCAGAGTGAGAGAGAGAGAGATAGTATAAGAGTCACGAAAGAATATACACTACGAGCACGCACGCACGCACGCACGCACGCACTCCAAGTTTTATACTATCTTTATATATTTTCTTTAGATGTGTGTGTGTGGGATGATGTGTATTTGTGTAAATGTATCCGTCAGTATACGTATTTTACGCGCCCGTATATCGCGTGTGTTGAATTAGTGTCTTGCGTGTTCGTAACTTATTAATAATAATGACATTAATGATACTAATAATAATAAGAATAAGAATAAGAATAATAATGATAATAATAATAATAATAATAATAATAATAATAATAATAATAATAATAATAATAATAATAATAATAATAA